CCTTCACCAACAGTATGATATTGCGATCCGGTAAATTTTTCCCGAAGCGCTCTTTAAGAATGCGTCACATATGTACCTACGCTTGAATACTGACAGTTTGTTATTCTCAGACAATCCTTTTTGTATACTGTCAGGATATTCAGCGCTTTTCTGTTGTTTGAATAAGGATATAACTCTAACAAGCTTAGAGCTTAGAACTTCACTGTAAATTGCTGATTTCTATATTTATTTGGGACGGAGAGAAGGCGAAGATTAATGGGAGGTCTTTCTTCTCCCGTATCTATCTTGACAATAGCGGTTCTCACCCAGATATTTCTAATTTTCTCAGGTCTTTGAACTTTACGTGATAAATTTTTTTTGTTTTTCTCTCGTCACGAAAAAAATAATCTTAACACACGATATTTCCGCGCGCGTGATGTCGTTCTCTGTTTCACTCGAAGATTATTAAGCAGCGGAGCGAGTGTCGTTCAGAATCGTTTAGGCCGTGAAAAGTAGTAAAACTCGACGTTGCGCCCGACGTCCGTTGTGTAACACGGCTCGCCGTCTACTGACGCGCTCAACGCCAGGCGTCGCGACGCGGATAGGGCGCAATGCTAATCGGCGTCAAGTTTCTCCTTGATGCCGGCGATACGTGGAAACGTAAAAACTTTTTGCACACATCTCAGTATTCTCAACGCGTTCACTGATGAATTTATCCTCAGTGGAGTCGTCAGAAAACGTCGAAGCTTCACTTGTACGTACCGTCGTTGTCGGACAAACGATTCTCGTCAATCCCCGGCGGCTACGCCGAAATGATCAGGTTAACGAGCTAGGCGCGTTTGTTGTGGCAAGTGATTATAATTATAGTATATCGCTTTTCATCAACCCGTATCTTCTGTACTGTGTTATTTGATTAAATTTTCGCCGTTATTGTAACGAACTTTATCAGAAAAAATTACATTTTATATATAATTAATAAAGTTAGTGCTACGATTCTATATTAGAATGTTAAATTAGTATCTACACAATTTATATTTATTTCAATTTGAATTACATGTACTGTTAGTTTGCGTGTTTAACATTTGTGATTAAGGAATATTAATTATTTTCATTATAAATTATTTTGTGACAAACACTGTTTGGACGCATGCAAATTTTAGTTACACATGAATAACATAATCATTATTATATATCATATATATTATATATAATATAATAATGCATTAATAATTGATGTGTT